ATACCATTATAATGTATACTGGACTTCCAATCCTCACAACTCCCATCTAATATAAAGGTATAATACGTCTAATAGCTTTGAATACATATGTATATCGGTTACACATCAATTTTTGGTCTATGACTTCTCGCCGGCACATCAACTAGAGCATTCGATGTTCACCGGAGTATCGAACTCCTAAAACATTTTCAGCCCCACAGTTAGGGGTATGGCAGTGAGACTACAAGGACAAAGAGCTGATTTGTCTTCAAATTTATAAAATAAAGGTGTTGGAGGCTAGGAACAGGAGAAGCCGCAGTGGAGGATAGTAGGGAGGGAAAAGAAAGAAAGACTCGATGGGTGAGAGGATAGCATGGAAAAGTGTGGAGAGCTGGCAAAGCTGGTACCCAAATAAAGAGGCAATATGAAGATCGAGAATGTGATTAGGTCTTTAGAGTATACTGAGTGAGTCAGTTTAAATTGAGCTCCTGAGCGCTTAGATCAGGTGTTTTGGACGATCGTACTTGGCATGATTCAACACGTAAGCGGAGTATTCCTGTCATTCAGATGGATCGAGGTTTACGTACTTCATAGAAGTGAACCCAACTCAGCTGGGCCGTATCATGCTCTAAGTCTAATAAAAGTGAAAAGGGAGCTGATTGTCTAACACGCGGACATACACAACAAACCAACCAAACCAATCGTAACATGTCTGTATATTTAGAAAATATTTCACTCGGAGATAACAATACCAAACAAAACCGTGAGATATCTTGCCGCGACTTCGGCATTCTATCGCACTGGTGCTGGGCTTTAAGCACCGTTAATATGATGCCGTTGCAGACGACTTGTATTAAGGTCCGGTTCCTATCCTAATCAAGTTGGGTGACAACTAGTTCACTCTGAACAGAATCTTTTCCGACCAAAGATTTATCTAATCTACGAATACGACATTGTACATCCTGATCTCTTTGATTACTCCCATCGTTGACTAGTCCCTAGCTTCAGCTGGTCACCATGTACGCACCCACAACAATATGAAAACCCGTTGGTAGAAGGAAATCGTGGCATACAAGCCTAGCGAGTCGGATCTTTGAGATTGACGTGTTAGGGATTGAGGAAAGACAGATAAGATCCCATCAAAGATGGCTACACCCTCAAAAGGGATGACATTCCGAATTTTAGAAAGGAGAGTTTGTGTGGGAAATCATTATACGCTCCACGACTTCATTTGCAAGAGAGCAGATGGCTCTATTAAAACAGTCTTGGCTGGATATTCCAAGTTAAGTCTAGGTACCTAGTACGCGTTTCCCACTTGAGATAGAAGATCACTTGTTCAAATCCACCGAGACAAAGTCAATTTTTCGCAGTGCTCGCTCGCAGGATAACCAAAAAAATTTGAAAATTATCTTTAATGAATATTCACGGACGAGAGTAGACTGTTTGGTAGGATCGAACATATATTAGTGGCATGTGTGAAAGAAATCTAGAGGATGAGTATCTAAAGTCAAAATAGTCATTTAACATGTAAACAAGACAAGACCATGCAGTGGAGGGCAAGACTGAACGCCTGTACGCGGTGTTTTCTACGAACCTGGGGGTGAAAGATTCCCCCACAGCCAAGTTCAGTCAAATTTCAAAACATCAAACAAGTTGGCCCACGAGGCAATGATTCAAAATACTCCACCATGTCAATCTTTCACTCCCATCGAAATCGATTCCTACCTAAGCCTTATCAAGTCTACAAGTACAAACATGTACATCCTCATTCCAATGACCACACCTCTTGTCGACTTTCTCTGGCCTCAGCCGGTCACCAAATACACGCCCACGCCGATATTGACATCCGACGGAGGAAACAAAGCGTGGCGCACAAATCTGGAAGACAGTTCTTTGGGATTGGCGTGAGAGGATCCAAGACAAGTTCACAAGATGATGCGAAGGATAGATACAGTCTCGACGGGCGTGGAATTTCGAAGTTTGGCAATGAGTTTTACAAATTGGGCTTTGTGCGCGCCAGGACTTCGCTTGCGAGAATGTAGGTGTTACTATAAACACCGCTATGGTTGGATGGTGCGATAGAACATCATCTTGGCCGGTCTCCCAAGTAAGGTCTGGATAGCTAGGACACATATCCCACTCGAGACAGTAGATCGCTGGTTCAAATACGGCAAAACACAACTACATTTCTCGCGGCGCTGATATACATGGATGACGAAAGTATGCTTGGATAACCAAAGGTTTTGAAATTCACTTTGGTGGGTACTTACGGAGGAGGGTTGACTGTTATGTAAGCAAGCATACCTCATAGTGGTATTTGCGAATGAAATCCAGAGTATGAGTGTATCCAACGTCAAAAGAGTCATCCAACATGTATAAATAGCACCGGTCATGTGTCATAGCTAGATAGCTGAATACACATTAAATGATAACAATAAAAAAATAGTTGTAAACTCAAATAGCACAGAAATGGATTATAAATATTATTACACCCGCAAATAGCCATCTTTTCGTCGGCTGGATAGAGGAGATTATAAAGGGTAAAGACCTCCTCTTTTTTTGATATCAGATTTTAATTGCGTATGCAGCTACCTAGCTATGACACAATTTTGGAGAAAAAGCACCCGAAATATGACTTATTTCGAAAGAAGAGCCATCATGGCTCGGGTTTCATTTGCAAGTAGCACTTCAAAGTTATAGCAGCTTTTTCTTCACCCCAAGCCATCTCTCATCCGTGAATACCCATTCAGGGGAACGTCTCAAAAACCCTGAGTTATCCAGACATGCCTCCATCATCTTTCAACTTTTCTCCGCGCGAAATATGGTCTGAGGCGACTTATTCCAAGGTGAAGTAGGTGCCCAAGCTACTCGAACTTTACCAGAGATCATCACCAGGAGACGGACCACGGCACCTTCTATCACTGGCTTGTTTTTACAGTGTCAACTGCACTATTGCAAAATAAGTATTGGCGCACGCAATACTCTTCAATTTGTGTATCTCCTTGCAAAAATTCAGAATTCAACGCCCATCGTGGCTATATCCTTCCTCTACGTCATCTTGTGAACTTGTCCTGATCCGTCTCACGTTCATCCCAAAGAACTTTCTCCCAGATTTACGCGCATGCTTTGCTTCCTCCAAAGAGCTCCTCTAACTGTATGATCGAATAAGGAGTTGTGAGGGGTGGTACTGTTTGAGGGTAGCTGTATGGGAGGCATAGGAGGGGATATACTACTGGCATGGGTGTACCTGGCCTTTAGGCAGAGAAGACTTGTATGTCCTACATAGTCATAGACTCAGAAAGACCAATAATATCGAGCTTCCCATTCGGCCTGGATGATAGTACCAAGTTGCCCGGATTCTGTTACAATAGGAGATGATGTACGCGCCTCGCGTGTCTCTGGTGACCAGGCCACTCATAGCCAAGGTTGCAGGGTTTCCAGGAATGTTTCCCGCGCACGCAGTTTCGAGCAGTATCTTTTTTTAATTTAAATGTTGAAGAGAAGATTTTGTGAGAAAGAAATCAAAGCTCTAAGGGTAATTACTGAGCTAAAGAACTGTCCATAATGAGCTCAACATCAGAAATCTTTTTCACCTATAAAAAGAGGATGAGCGCACTGTAAAATATGTAGTCTAGTACAGAGAAGAGCCAGATGGGCTAAAAAGTCATAGACTCAGGTAGAGTAATTAACACCAAACCAAATTAAAAAAATACGTGGAACGCATAATGCTCCTCGATATAGAAATTCTTCACCCCATAATTCCAAATCTCACAACTGCCGAGATTATATCTAGTCTCTTCATCATCTTTTAAACTTAAGCTGGGCTTACTTGTGTCCATCTCGAAGATCTGTCTCTCTACAATTTGGTACCAGAGTTGATTTCTAACCACGATTATTCATGCTATCTTGTACATGGAGACTAGCTGTAGCTAGACACTAGTCGACGAAAGGTGAGCTCATAAAGATTAGTATGTATGGGGTTATATTTGTAGATTTGGCAAGGGTTTGATCGGAAACAGCCTTGCTGGGATTAAAAGATTGACGAGGTAGGAAGTATTGGATAAGAACCTCGTGGGCCAACTTCTCTGGTATGCCAAAATTTAACTGAACTTAGCTCTAGATGAATATTTCACTCCTGGTTTAGTTGTGGATACCACTTACAGGTTGAGCCTTCGTACTGATGCCACTAACGCAGTCCTACACCAAAGAAATTGAAGGTGTCAAAAGCGTCAAAAGGTTGAGTGAGCTTTAAAATTATGTCACGAAAGAAATAAATTGCCATTTTTACTGATTCATAGCTCATTGGGCCTGAATTCATTCATTTAATGACCTTCATCTCGGAGTATAAATCATCATGTGCCCGCCAAGAATGTACTTTCAGCTGTTTGCGGCGGAAGGAGAAGTTAAGTGGCGACAGGTCACCTCTTCTACAATAACATATACTTATGTTATCAATACTTGTTGAATAACCAAGAAAAAGGCACGGTAGATAATGTTTCCGTTAGAATTTAGAATAATTGGGACTATCAAGTAGGCCACGTCGTTGATACACACGTGATTGCAAATTCTGTACTTAGTTTCACTTCGGTAGTTACTTGAATCAATGCGCCCTACAACCTCAATAACTAAGGGGTCATAATTTCCTTAATAGTTTCATCAATTTTAGGATAGCATGTGCCTTAGCTAGAGAGTCATCCATAATCTGAAGTAAATAATAAAAACAATTTACAAATAATCATTTTTGGGAAGTTTTGCATTGGAGGAAGATATTTCCTTATTTTCTTATTGCAGTATTTGACTCAAATTCTTCATTTATTGGGGCGAAACATACGCACCTGGCTATATTGGTATCTCCTGAAATTGGAGAGAGGGAAACCTAGAAATCTTTTATCCAGATATTGTTGGCTATACTGTAAAGCTACCAGGAGGAGCCGTGAAAGGTAGCAGGCTCAGATCTAGAGACTCTCTATCTTCTGTGACTAAGATAATAATCGAGTTGAACTCATTTCGGCACTAAAAATCTAGCTTTCGGCTAAGTCGGTTTCCTGGCCTTCAAAAGATGGAAGTTCTCTTTCAATATCACTCCACATTTTTTCCCCTTCAACTAGAGCTTTGACAGCAGTGAGCACTGTCTGCTCATCGGCCCGAACTTGCTTAGTTGAATCACGATCACGTAGAGTGAAGGTTTGGTCCTTGACACTTTGGAAGTCGATAGTAATGCCAAGTGGGGTTCCTAACTCATCGTTTCGACTGTAGCGTTTACCAATAGATGCAGAGGAATCATCGATACGAGATGATATGCCAAGGGAGCGTAGCTTTAAAGATATTTTTCCAACAAGAGGTTTTAAGCTCGCATGTGTAGAGAGAGGAACAAGAAGTACTTTAGTAGGTGCGACGACTGGAGGGAATGAAAGAATCTTAAAGTATTCATTAGAACCTCACAGATATTGCATGGCATAAGACGGAAGGGGAAACAGAGAAGGGTCTACTTACACAGCGGGCTTCGTCACCACCATCGCTACCTCGACTCCAATAGTTATGCTCAAGTAATGCGTAGAGAATTCGACCAATCCCGAATGATGGCTCAATCACATTTGGTGTGTATTCACGGGTATTTTCGACTCGTGTGCGACGCTCAACCGAAATCAGGTCATTACTAATCTCAACTTTTCCTGTCCCTACGCTTTCAACATCAATGAAAATTTTGCCTTTAGCTTTAAGTTCTTCGGCAAGGGCTTCGCGCTTGCATTGAGGAGTCGCCTCAATCGCCGCCTCGATAACCTTACCGTCCTTTTTAAAGTACGGCCCAAACTTTTTCTTGTTTAGATCAATTTGCCATTCTTCAACTGAAATTGGAGTCTCTAATCTTTCTCGTACCATCAATGGCGCACCGGTCTTTTTAGCATGTACCGTAAGATCATAGGCACTCCGGTCAGCACACCCAACACATTCAATCCAACCATAGCTAGTCAGAAGCTCCGCATCCCAGCAATCAGTGGCATAATGAGCCATCTCGTTTGCCATGTGCTGCCTGAAGCGAATCTTTGTTTTATCAATGCCGATCTTCATCAAAAAGAGATGAATCCGGGCAAGAAAATAACCCAATGTCTCGTTGTCTACAGTTCCATTAGAGACTGCCGCTCCGATAGCTAATTTTCTAACATCAGTTTGGCCGGCAAGCTGGGTTTCACGGTTCAGCAAGACAAGCTCAACATCTTTGACCTCATGAAAACGGCCATGTTTTTTCCCACCTTCTGGATCAACGTAATGCTCTATTTCAGCCATAAGAAACTCTCGGACACGAAGTAGACCAGCTCGTGGTGATATTTCATTTCTAAATGACTTGCCAACGGACGCTGAGGCAAATGGCATCTGTTGTTGGTTGAACTCAAGTAGCTTTGCGAAATTAACGAATTGACCTTGAGCTGTTTCTGGACGGAAGTAGCCTGGAGCATTACTGCTTGGGCCAATGGTGGTCTGAAACATTAGATTGAACGCAACCGGTGCTGATGGCAGGACTCCAGTTTCTGGGTTCTTCATTTCGTATTTGGTGATAAGATTCCCCAGTTCGGGACCATCATAGTTATCTATCTGCTAGAGTTAGTTTAAGTGTATTATGGACGCAAGCCAAACCTTTGCCAAAATTTCCTTGTATTCTTGAATGACAGCATCTTCTAGTCTTACGGCTTCAGTGCCTTTGAGCTTCTTTTTTTTAGACTTAACGTTTTCTATTTTCACGTTATCTAATAATCCTCTTGCTTCTTTGTCTCCTTTCAATCGGGCCTCCAAAATCTCTTCTACAAAGTGGTCGGCACGGATGATATCGCCATTTTTTGGGTCTTTGCACATCCAATCAGCAAACTTGTCTACATGCCCACTTGTTTTAAGAACCTCCTCAGGCGTTAGCGCTGTACAATCAACCTCTAACATATCTTCTTCAAGCACGAAGTGCTTGCGCCATAAGTCGACGATATTAGCTTGTAATGCGCAACCTGGAGGACCATAGTCAAAAAGACCGCCTACACCATTGTAAATTTCGAAAGATGGAGTGTAGAACATGCGTCTTCGTAGCATAGAATCAAAAGTTTGTCGATCGAAGGGCTTGCCCTTTAATGTCGTGGTCGCCATGTGGGGGCCCTCTTTGATTTTGAACTTGGGCGGAGTGTACCTATTCTTATGTGTGGTTGTCGAGAAAATACGTAAAGTTCTAGTAGTTCTCCAAAGATCCAGGCGTAAGTAACAATTATGGGCTCTCAAGAGTAAGCACATTCAAGTCAAATTTTTTATTCTTGAAGTTGAGTCTCTCATGGAGCTTTAGTGGGGAAGTTCGCCGATCAAATATTTATCTGCCAATCTAAAGTCTAACCCGCAATATCGACAACTACGAGATGCATTTCTGGTCAAAGAATCATAATGCACTCATATCATGAAAAATAAGTTGTTCACGAAAGTATATAATCAAATCGGAACTAGCTTATCTGCGCTTATAAAGTCAATGAACACTTAGTACTGCAAAATTGAATAACGATTTAGTAGACCCAAGAAACTGCGACGGCAGGTATTGTTGCCTCTGCCGCCTCTGCCTTATTATCTATGCATACAACATTCATTTCAATCTGCTAGTTCATACATGTACATGTCGTCAATAACGTTAAATGTCCCATCGATGGATATGACATGTCAGCCACCACATTTAGAGGTCTTTACAAAGCGCTACACAAAGGAACAAACATAATCCATATCAACTATCCAACCACTGGGGTTGGATGATGCAGTGGTACACCATCCAGGCCGTTCTCCCAAGTAGATACTGGGTAGCTTGAGCACCTACCCCATTCGAGACAGGAGAAAGCTGGTTCGAATCCAGTCAGACCCATACACCACTCTCTCTCGCGGTGATATCGTACTTGTGGGATGATGAAAGCACATTTGGATAGCCACAGGTTTTTCATACTTTTCCCTATGGTGGGTATACACGGAAGAGGTTATACGCCGTAAGGGTTAACCTCGAGTGGTATCTGCAAACGAAATCTGAGTGTGAGTGTTCTAATCGTCAAATTGAATCATCCGACTTGAAGTACATATCTTCCGATAAAACCTGCATGGGCCTCAAGGCGCCAAATCAGGTAAAATGAAATATATATATATATATATATATATATCCAACCACTAGGAGGAAAAATATTGATCACCTATCCGTGATGTCCACTGAGAACCCGAGGGTCTAATATTCTCTCAAAGCTGAGTTTAGACAAAGTTCGCAATACCAAAGGAGTCGGCCCAGGAGGCAACGATTCAACACTCTCCACTAATTTAATCCCTCACTCCCAACCAGATCGATTACTATAAAGGCATCCTCAAACCTACAATAAAGACTTTGTGAATTCTCTCTTCAATGACCATTTCTCTCATCTACTGCTCTCTCACTTCAGACGGCCACCAAATAAACGGCCACGACAACATGAATATCCCAAGAAGACACATCACGTTGCGAAAAACTGGGAGGTAATTCTTTTGGACGGACGTGAGAGAAACCAGAACAAGTTTACAAAATGATGTAGAGAATAAATACAATCTCGACAAGTGTGAGCTTTGAAATTGAAGAGTATTGTGCGCTATATGACATCAAATCTGAGAATGTAAGCGACTCCTTAAAAGTTATCACAGCTGGATATTGTGATGGTACAATATTCGGGCAGGTCTCCCAAATAGAATTTATATAACTTGGACACCTAGCCCATTTGAGACTGGAGAAAGCCGGTTTGAATTCATCAAGACAAAATCAAATTTCGCGCTTGTTGCGTGAACGTATAGCGAAGGTATACTCTAATAACTAAAAGTTTTGAACCCTCCCCTTGGTGGGTACTCACGCAGCAAGGTCGACTGTTCAGCATAAGCCAAAATATCTTGTAGTAAAATTTTCAAAAGAGATCTAGAGTTTGAGTGTTCATGAAGCCAAAAGAGACATCAAAAATGTACATGTTGTACTGATCCTATGTCATAGCTTTTTACCTGAATACACTTAAATGATACAAAAAATTGGCACGCCTCGTAGCGGCAGAGATGTAGAGGCTTGACCGATAAATGACTTTGACGGATCGGCTCAGACTCGTAATGCCGGATTTTTAATACTGTATTCCTTGATAGTAGTCTTTTCTATTTACATCACAACTTCCCACAACAAGGCTTACATGGGTAGGCAATGAGATGATTTTGGTCGTGGACTTCGCGTTAATGCGTCTGACAGGTCCATCACAGATAATTAGAAACTACGTGTTAGATTGATTGCTTGAATACAACGGCCTAGTTTACCTGGTTCTGACAGCGAACCATACGCGAATGGTCATTACATCTTCTCCCTACTGTACGCAGTACTGAACTATTTATATATGAAAATTTCTGACCACAATCCTGAGCTCGACTCCTCGAACCGACACCCCACCGAGTCAAATTATTCCTACGCTTTCGAATTCAATCTCGCCTGTGTAGAACTCTCTCGAGTGCTATAGGCTGCTAATGACGCAGCTAGCAAGCGTAAAATCTATATCCTTCTACTCGTGCTGAAAATATGACTCTCAATTTACTTTTGTCATTAATGGGAGTTCAAACACTTATCCAAATGTCCTGCCTTCCATTTTCAATAAATGTACACTATCATTATGGGACGAAGAGGACGATCAATTTGTTGGGCCTCAAGTAACAACAGACTTTTCGTGCACTTTTTTGATTATCAAAATTTTTTCGAGCTACAGAAACGAAGCCAGGAATGGGCAACTTCATTTCAGTAGCTTTGACCGAATCTTATGGTTATTGAGTTGAATGTGATGTGTAGATGCTTGCTAGTAGGTGGCGCTAAGGCTAATATTTCTGGCGGGCATCGTCGGGGGACTTCACCGGTACCTGCTTTTGCTCGAAGGTCATGTATTAAGTCAAAATCTAGACATATAACTTAAATCAATCCTTTGCTTTTGCTATCTATCGTCTAATATTGATAAGGGTCAGTCTTGATTAGTTGAGTCTGTGGAAATCTTGAAGTTACAAGTTTTGTAGTTCACGATTGGCGAAATTGTCACTTGTTGCTCGACAATATCGAAGGTCTTGAAGAATCAGCCACGCAAGTTCTACGGTTTGTATTGATTAAGCAGATGGGATTGATACCGGATCAGATCAAGCCGATCTGGAGGTTTCGTCAAAAGTCTGGCACTTTAGCGTATGGGTGAGGTCATTCCACTACAAGGTACATAATAATATGGGCTTCCCGGAATAACATCATTTTTCAATAAGAGCGGCACCACGTTCCATGAACTTCATTTCATCGTTTTAATTATTACATTCATCTTAATCAATCCTTCTCACCTGATTCCCCGAATTTTTTTCGTTGCGCTCCGGCATGGCGAGTTGGGGAGCCAGTAGGGTGGATTTCGCGGCTGAAATTTTTTTCACGGCACCACCAAAACCAACAATGGGCAGCAGAACAGCCGCAATTACAGCTGTAGAGTCTCTCACAACCTCTACACGCGTCAACATGGATTTTCTTAAGACAGTGGGAATATACTTAATTAAGGTCCGATGCAGACTGGTGAATTCAGGTACTTACATATCTGCGGCACCGATAGTGTAAACAGATGAGGCTCTTGACGCCTTCAAAGCCCAGACTCAGATGTTACAATCTAAGATGTCGGCAAAGTCAATGAAGGAAAGGATGCTTGCCTTAAAGAAGGCAATTACGAAAAGTCTCGAGGAGCCGGCGCGCAAGGCGGCTCCTCAGTCGGCACAAACAATGGGAGGACGACCAACCTATGCCTCAGTCGTCGCACCGCCGGCAACCAAAGCAGCAGTAAGGATACGAGTCGAAGAAGCAGAAGATATGCAGCCTTCAGAGCTGCTTAACAAGGCGAAACATCAAATCGAGGGGGCATATGATATAAGGAAGTTACGGAGTAACGATACTGAGGTGTTCGTGCAGTCGGTCTCCCAAAGAGACGCTGCCTTGAGAATGACGCAACCAAAGGAGTTCAGCGTTATAAAGTAGGATTATTCTGCCGAGATTTTTGGAGTCCCATTGTGGATAATATTACGAGGAGGAAAGAATGCCGACAACGGCGCATTGATAAACCAAATGACGGAGGAGACAAAAGTTCAGATTCCAGAATTAAAAATCAACAGGGTGAGGTGGCTTTACGACGGTAAAGAGCACCAATGGATGGGAAGAAACGGTCATTCTCGAGGATCAGTGATCGCGAGTCTACCGATAGAGGCACTTCAACGCGAAGTGGTACGAAACAGCATTGTGCTAAACTCAATGCTGTACACGTCCCAGCTCTGGTCACCCCGTGCGCAAGTCAAGCAGTGCTCCAACTGCAGCAAATGGAGGCATACTCAAGCCTCGTGCATCAAGGCGAAAAGATGTGGTGAGTGTGCGGGTACTCACCAGACCAGAGACTGCCCGAGGAAGTCGGTATTTTGCTGCAACTGCGGTAAAGCCCATAAATCGTGGCAGAAGGAGTCGTATCCGAACTTCGTGTCATACAAGGCCAGCGTTCAAAGGGCCAGGTATGGACTCACGGAAAAAACGGTAGATTTAAGAAGGGAGAAAAGTTTATCAGCGGCAACACAACCAATAACAGCGGCAAAACAAATAGACGACCAAGAGTTCACACTGGTGTTCAACCAAAAGCCAGAGATATTAAAGAGAGGGCCAGGATGCCCGCGCAAACAGCCCCTTGTCAATCCACCACCTCAAATATTTGCGCCATCGGGGTCAAACTCAAGACCACAGTCATCACTTTTCGGCACGCGAGTGCAGGTAAAAGATGGCGAGGTAAATTTCAATTTTAGCTAGTCCTGTCTCGGTCTTAAGGCCTATTGCACTACCTGTAGGTTACGAAGGACTACAGATAGAAAACATAATAGGGGGAGGGGGTTTTTATCGTAATGGTTTCCTCCTCATGTAAATATATAAATATCAATCTGCCTGTAGTAATATCAAGCTGCCCAAACGAGGAAGAGAAGAAATTTGCGCCAATAACAGGTGATTAGATCTGGCAAACTTGGTGGAAATTTGTGGGAAAAACCATTCACAAAAACGGCAGAAAGAGGCAGGAAAAGTTGCAGCATACCAAGAATGAGCTAAATCCTGGAAAAATTAAAGGCGGCTCCGATTACCTCGACATAAAGCAGTCGCCGACCCCGAAACCTGAAGAGCAGTCAAGTTCTATCAGAGCCGAAAGTCGGATCGATGGAAAATAAGTCTCCAGGAATCGCCATTC